GTACCTCGGGAGCGCCCTTGTTGTTTACCTCTATTTGTTGTGTTGTTGTCTTTATGTAAATTCTCATTTGTTCACTTTTCAGTCATTTCATTATATTATCTTGTCTTCTGCCTTATGAATTGTCCGTGCGGTTTTGATAGAGATATGGGCACGAGGTACCGTAAAAATATGAAAGTGGGTTGAGACCCGTAATTTTTATGATTATGAAATGAGGTGTCGCATGGTGACTTTTACTTGTAAAGAATTATATTCGAAAGATTTTATTTGAAGAATTTTATTTGAAAGTTATTTATTTGAAAGAATTATATTCGAAAGATTTTATTTGAAGAAATTTTATTCGAAAATTATTTATTTGAAAGGATTATATTCGAAAGGTTTTATTTGAAGAATTATATTAGAAAATTTTGTATTTGCAAGAATTATATTCGAAGGATTTTGTTTAAAGAATTTTATTCGAAAGTTATTTAATTGCAAGAGTTATATTCGAAAACTTTTATTTGAAGAACAATATTCGAAAGTTATTTATTTGAAGGAATTATATTCGTAAGATAATTATTTGAAAGGATCGTATTCTAAATATATCTATTCGAAAACTTGTAGATAAAAAATATATATTTTGAAGGACCTGATTTATTGGTTAAGCTAGTGTTCATTATTTGTTTGGGCAATATTTGTGGTGTTCTTGCTGACTTGTTGTTTATATCACTAGTTGATGATTGTTGCTATCACTGTTGTTTGTCTTTCATTTATTTTTGTATGCTAAAATGAACAGGTTATTTGACTAGTAAGTGTCTTGATTGTACCTCGTCACTACCCCACTGAGGTTAGTCTTGATACTAGGGTACCAACTGTTGTGTACTCATACTATACTTCTGCACATTTTTGTGCAGAGCCAGGTATTAGAGATATCGGATTCGGACATAGTTAGTGTGTTGATCGCTAGGATTCAAGGTAGAGCTGCTTGACTGTCGCAGTCCCTTGGAGCCTTTTCATTTTTATTTTACTGTCAACTCTTATTCGAACAGTATTGTATACTCGATCCTTGAGATCATTGCATGTATTCAGTTAGAGTTCGTGACTCAGTATTACCAGTCTTAGGAGGTTTTTATATTTGACTCCACTTTTGGTTTCGACACTTGTATTAAATTATATGTTTGAAATAAAAAATATATGGCTCGAAATGTAATTGTAATCGGCTTACCTAGTCTTAGAGACTAAGTGCCGTCACGACGCATGTAGTGAGATTTTAGTTCGTGACAAGTTGGTATCAGAGCTTTAGGTTCATAGGTTCTACTAGTCACGAAGTTTAGTAGAGTCTTGCGGATCGGTATAGAGACGTACGTACTTATCTTTGAAAGGCTACAAAACTGTTAGGAAATTTCCACTTCTTTCATTCATATGGTGCAGAAATTGTGTGTAAAATGTGGGGTCAATCGGACGTGGTTTGATAGGGTTCAACATCGGTTATAGGAATTGGAAGTTTCAAGTTCATTAAGTTTGAATCGGAGGGTGATTCGTATTTTTGATGTTATTTGAGGTGGTTTGAGGATTCGACTAAGTTCGTATAGTATTTTTGGGACCTGATGGTATATTTAGTTGAGGTCTCGGGGGCCTCAGGCAAGTTTCAGGTGGTTAACAAATCATTTTTGGCCTTGGTGAGATTTTTCTCGTTTCTTCTTACTCGTTCGCGAGAGGAGTCTCGCGTTCGCGAAGAGTGCTTCTGAGTTGGTGTGATTTTTCTCTATACATCCACGAAGGAGAGGATGCGAACGCGAAGGTATGGCAGTATGTGCATCGCGAACGCATGAGTGGCGTCGCATTCGCGAAGGGGAGTGAAGCAGCTGGGACCCCCCCCCCCCCAGTCTTTTGTTCTACACGTTCGCGAGGTCAGGGACACATTCGCGAAGGTCTGAATTTGCAAAGCTTCACGTTCGCGAAGCGTAGGTCGCGTTCGCGAAGAGTTAAGTTGAGAGGCAGTCTGAGTTGGTCTACACGAACATGAGAGGAGGGTCGCGTTTGTGAAGAAGGAAATCTCGACAGACAATATTAATTTCAAAAAAGAGGGTTTGAGCCTATTTTGCATATTTTGAGCTAGAGAACACGGAATTGGGCGATTGTTGAAGGGACGTTTGTGGAATTGATTGGGGTAAGTGATTCTTACTTGGTTTTGGTTAAAACCCATGATTATATCTTTAATTTTATCATCTAATTTGTGATTTGGGGTGGAAAATTGGGGAAGAAGATGAAGTGTTCATGAGTTAGATTTTTGGGGTTTTGAATGGGATTTTATTATCGGATTGGAGTAAATTTGGTATGGTTAGACTCGTGAGTAAATGCCTTTCGGGTTTTATCACTTTTGTCAGATTTCGAGACGTGGGCCCGAGGGGCCGGGTTCAGGCCAATTTCGAATTTTTGGCTTATAATTTCGTGTTTTTCTTGTGGGATTGATTCTTTTAGCTTATATTAATTATCTCGTACTACTTGTGGCTAGATTTAGGGCATTTGGAGATTAATTCGAGGGGCAAAGGTATTGCGGAGTAGGATTTTGCGCGGTTTGAGGTAAGTAACAGTTTTAAATCTGATTTTAGGGGAATGAAACCCCGAGGATTGGTATGATGTGAGTGTTTAGAGGTGACACACATGCTAGGTGACGGGCGTGTGAGCGTGCACCGTGAGGGATTGTGACTTGGTATGTTCCGTGAGACTATAAAGTCGAATAGTCATTGTTATTACTTGTTTTTCCTTGCCTTTGAGCAATTGACTGCCTTTCATGTTAGAAACCATGCTTAGGCCTTATGATATCACTGTTGGGACCCGCAACAGTCGTATACTTATTGAATTAACTGCTAATTATTGTCTTGTACTCAGTCACAATCTTACTTGTGTGTTATATCTCTATTCCATCTCATTTCTTGTTGATACTTGTTGTATTCTCTGTTTGGGCCGATTATCATGATATTCTGTGAGCCCGAGGGGCTAGAGAGGTTAGTGACTGAGATAAGGCCTGAGTGCTGAGCTGTGAACTACGTGACGGTATATGGATCGGTTTGCACGCCGCAACGAGCCTTATGGCTATTTATGGACTATGGATCGGGTTGCACTCTGCAACGAGCCTTATGGCTACTTATATGATCGGGTCGGGCTGCGCGCCGCAACGATATAGCGCTTGGGCTGCAAGGAGCCCCTCCGGAGTCTATACACCCCAGTGAGCACAGGTACCTATTGAGCATGTGTATTGAGGGCTGAGAGCCAAGAGTATGAGCTGATGAAATGAGTTGAGTGACTGCTGCCTTGAGAGGCTGTACTTGCTTTTTTATTTATTGTTGCACTTAGTTGCTATCCGATGTTATTGTGAAACTTCAGGAAGATTCATATCTGGTTTACTTGAGCTCGAACTGATTTGACTTATACCACTGGATTTGAAAACATGTTCACTCTTTACTCAAAACTTTTGATATGAACTGTATTTTTATAGCTCGTCACTGCTTCTCAGTTCCTTATTTAATTCTATTACTTGCTGAGTTGGTTGTACTCATGCAACACCCTGTACTTCATGTGCAGATCCAGGCGTGTACGATTCTGACGGTCATTGAGTTCGTGCGCGGGCTGATCATCGGAGACTTACGAGGTAGGTACTGGCATCCGCAGACCTTGTTTCTCCTTTCTTATTATCTTTTCTCTCTTGTATTGGCATTTGGCACAGACTGTAGTAGACTCTATTTCTAGATTGGCTATTAGATGCTCATGACTTAGTGACACCCCGATGTCGGACTATTTTTCTACACTTATATTTTATTTGGGTTTTACCCACGTATTTATGAGAAACTCCGGTTATTTTAAATGTCTTAAATTTATTTTTGTTTAATTTTAAAAGTGTTTTGGCAAGGTCGGCTTGCCTAGTATCGCGATAAGTGCCATCACGACAGGTTAGGTTTTGGAATCGTGACAGTTGCAGAAAAAAATCTATACATGCAAAAAATGACATAAAAGGGGTTGTAAATTAGAGAAGTTTAATGTCCATCCTTTCAAGATTGAAGAAGTAAATTCTTATAAACTTTACATGTTTTAAGACAGTTATATCCATAAAGCTTTAGTGTTCTGCCCCTCTTTCTTTTTTCTAAGTTCTTTGCCAGTTTAAGGAACAAAATATTCTGCAGCAGGACAAAACATATAACCTCTGCAGTTCTATTCATTTTTCTATCTTGTATTTGATATCCTAACCTAAGTTGCTCGGATACGAGTGCGGGTGTCTGAAAAGGGTGTAGATCTAGAGGTCGGATCCTTCGAGCTGTAAATTCTAAGATTCGAGGATACGGATCCTAGTACTGATACGGGTGCAGGGATCCGGCTAAAAATAATTCAAAAAAATAAAATATAAAAGTACCTCTAAATTATGAGAAATTTTGTGGAACACTTAAGTATAGCTTGTAAAGTGTGGATTGTTTTTTATTCTTAAGTTGTAGATAAGTAGATGATTGATTTCCTAAATAAAGTGTGTTATTTTCTTCAAATTTACCCTAGTTTTGGGTTTGATTTCAGGAATCAAATTGTATCTCGTCTCGAATTTTTTCGTCCGTCGTGGTCAAAGTACCCAAAATTGTTTGACCAGATTCGGTACGGATCACATACCCACACCCATACTAGTGTTGTGTCGACACGTGGCACCTAAACTGCCATGTCGAGCAACTTAGAGCAGGACAAACACATATAACCTCTGCAATTCTATTCATATTTCTATTTAGTATTTGATATCCTAACAGATCATACTGTAGACTGTCTCACAGCCTTGAAAATCTAGCTCCCCGGAGAAGATCACAGAGGCTAATTATACTGTAAAACTTTTCTTTTTTGGGATAAGTATAACTACAATTATGCCACAGTTCCAAACAAGTATGTTTTTTTTTTTTGGATAAGTAATCAAAGATTTTATAAATACTTGCACAAAGCCAGTGCGAAAAAACGTCCCGTTATACTGTAAAACTTAAGACAGTGAACTAACCAGAGTAGCATTAATCACCTCCAAACTCATTCTACAAAGTCAGACAGCATTTTCACTGTAAGAAATATGTGGTAATTTCTATTATTTAGCTGTAAAATACAATACAAGGAGAACCAGCACTAGAAAGCTTATTAGAGGAAGGCATTTTATTTTATACATTTAACAGGTTATTATGTTTTTCTGAGGGAGATTAAACTTGAGACAAGATGAAGTTACCTTCTAGCTCATCAGACTCGATCAACATTAACACGACCTCACGCATTGAAGGACGATCAACTGGGGACATACTAGTACACACTAATGCAATTTTCAAAACTGTAAGCGTATGATTAACTGTAGTTTTATCGGTTAAATCCAATCGGCTATCAAGTATCCCTGGCGTTAACGAATGGTCCCGAATATAATGTCTCACCCAAGTAACTAGATCACCTCCTTCATCTAGTGGCTGTACTGATGTTTTTCCAGTTAGTAACTCCAGAAGGACAACTCCGTAACTATAGATATCGCTCTTTTCTGTTACTTTCATTGTGTAAGCATATTCTGCAATGGAAAAAACAGAACCATTAAAACAATAGTGTTTTGTTCGTATCATGACATAGTGCATAATCTTTTTAGAGTGACATTCAAATTGAACATCAAAAGTGTACCTTATTATTTGAGGCAAGGATTAAGCTTGTCAGAAAAAGTTTGCTAGATTATACGGTACGACGAAAACTAACAAATACTAGTCAGCTCATGGGAGGAATTTTATGTGGAACTTTACGTGTATGTTCACTGATTTTTCCATGAAGAGTATCGCGTATCGAAAACATACAGTCAAACCTCTCTATAACAGCCTCATTTGTTCCGAATATTTTTGGCTGTTATAGCAAAGTGTTGTTATACAGAACATATATTATAAAATAGCTTAGAAATTGGTTCCATAAAAACCTTGGCTTTTTTAATGAATGGCTGTTATATAACGATACTGTTATAGAGAGGTCTGACTTTATAGCCTTATGAGGACCACCTAGCAATATGTATTTTGACAATTTTTCAGACAATAGACAAGCTATACTAGGCAGGTTTTTATGAAAAGAATGAAAAAGTACTTACCAGGGGCAATGTAGCCATATGATCCAGCAATTGCAGACATCGACTTATTTTGAGGCACGTCAACAAATTTAGCTAGACCAAAATCACCAACATGAGCTTCTAACTTCTCATCAAGCAATATATTATTGGACTTTATATCGCGGTGTATGATCTGTGGCTTGCAATCATGATGTAAGTAAGCAAGGCCTTCAGCTGCCCCAAGAGCTATCATAAAGCGTATCGGCCAATCCAAGCTACAAGATGCACTATGAAGCAATTCACCTAAGCTGCCTTTCGCCATGTACTCGTAAAGAAGCAGATTAGAACCCTGATGATAGCAAAAGCCATGGAGTTTTACAATGTTACGATGCCTGATCTTTCCCAGTGTTGTAATCTCTGCTCGGAAACTCTTTTCTATGTTATTACCCTCTCTGTTAGAAGTCAGCTTCTTAACCGCAATCGTTTTCCCAGACTGCATCACGGCCTTGTAAACCGTCCCAACGGCTCCTCTTCCAACAACATAACTGTCATGAAAATTGTTTGTCGCGTCAACCAAGTCTTGGAAAGTGAATTCCTCTTCGGGAGGGAAATATATGCCCGAACCTGGAAATGACGCATCATTGTCTTTTATGAATCCGACCATCTGAACTGGATTCCGCTTCATCAAATATAAAACACCTAAAATCAAAACAAGAGAAATCCCACCAACAACAGCCACAACAATAACAGTAACAATCTTCCCTCTAGGAGCACCTGCACTTTCGACTACAGGATCAGAATTTAAAGATGGAGATTCATTACATTCACCTAGAAGCCCCCCGCAAAGACCTTTGTTTCCAATAAAGCTACTGACATCCATATTTTGAAACAGCGGTATATCTGGCAGTGGACCGGTGAGGTTATTGTATGAAAAGTTACAGCCCATTAGACCGGTCAGGTATTGGAATGTGATCGGTATTTCACCAGTGAGATGATTATTGTTGAGATAGAGATGCTCTAGTAGAATAAGATTGCCAAGCTTAGGTGGCATTGTACCAGAGAGATTGTTGTAACTAAGATTCATCGCGATCTGTAAACCAGTAAGATTACCTAATTCTGATGGTATTTCACCTGAATATGAATTTCCACCCATCTGCAGCTCAGTCAAACGTGAAAGCCTCCCCAATGCTGCTGGTAACTTTCCAGAAAACTTATTTTCTGAAACCAAAAGGCGTTCTAGCTGCGCCAGTTTTCCAATTTCATCAGGTATAGCACCAATAAAGCTGTTCTTGCTGAGATCAAGTCGTTGTAGCGCCTTACATTGCAGAATTTTTCGTGGTACTTGACCAGTCAGTAAGTTAGATGAGACATTAAAAGTTACAAGTTTTTGAAGATTCCCTATCTCATTTGGCAATTCATGTGTGAAATAGTTGCCTGATAAATCAAGTCTTTGCAAATTTTGACAGTTTCCAATCTCAGGAGGTATTAAACTACCGAACGTGTTCTGTCCTAATTCAAGAGCAGATAAATTCCTCAATTTGCACACATCAGAAGGAAATTTCCCTTGTAGCCAGTTGCCATTAAGACGAAGTTGTACCAACGAGACACAGTTAATAAGACCAGGTGGAATGTCTCCGTGCAGGTTATTTGAACCAAGATTTAGCCAAATCAAATTGGAATTCCTACAAATATTTGGAGGAATTGTTCCTGTGAGGTAGTTGTTAGATAAATCAACAACCCAAAGCCGGCTATAAATCCCGAGAAGTTGGGGAATACTACCACTTAAAGAATTCTGAAAGAGCTGTAACTGAACCAATTCAGTGAAATACTGAAAGGCAAATGGAATAGGTCCTGTTAAGTAGTTAATCGACAGATCAAGACGTTCCAAGTTTTTTAAACTAGTAAGTTCTTGAGGTATGACACCTTTGAGCTGGTTTTGGAAAAGATACAACAATTTCAGGCCCATTATTTGACTGAACTCAGTCGGTATTTCTCCAATTAGATAGTTTTCTGAGAAATCAATTTCTATCGCCGAAGAAAGATTTCCAATAACCCTTGGAATAGTACCATTTAATCCATTCCAGTATAGGTATAACCTCTTGAGAAATTTGAGCTTACCTATCTCAACAGGAATTTCTCCAACCAGGTTGTTCTGGTATAAAGCAAATAGTTCAAGTTTTGTACAATTTCCAAGTTCCTTTGGAATATAGCCAGATAATTGATTGTCCCAAAGTACAAGTTGTTTCAAACTACTAAGCATACCGATCTCTTTAGGTATATTTCCTCCTAGATTATTTTGTGCAAGACCAAGAACTTGTAAGTTCAGGCAATCACCAATCTCCGCGGGTAAGCTTCCAGTAAGTGAATTCTGTCCCACTCGAAACGTTATAAGTTTTTTCAGATTCCCAAGTGATCGAGGGAGTGGACCAATGAGGTTATTGGTATATGCAACAAAAGAAACTAGAGAAGAGAGTTTCCCAAACTCCTCTGAAATAGGACCAGATATCATGTTATTGAACAAATTTAACTCTTTCAAATGAGAAAGCTTATACAATTCAGCAGGAATCTGGCCATAAAAATCATTATCATTGAGTTGGAGACTCTGCAATTTCGAGCAGTTCCCTATTTCCTTCGGAATATTTCCAGTGAATTCATTGTACGACAAGTCAAGAATGGTTAAACATACAAGACTACCAATGCTAGAACTCAAAGTGCCTGAAAGATTCATAGACCTCAGATCAAGAATTTGCACAACTGGATTATAATCAGAAGTGCAATTTACACCTTTCCACTTACATGGTGTCTCATCACTAGAATTCCAATTCCTAAGATAGTTAAACTCATCCCTTATATTCTTCTTCAACTCAAGTAGGTACATTCCTTCAGCATTCAATCCTTCTACAGGATAAACCAACATCATAGAAACCAACAAGAAAACCATCCATATCAGAATTAGGCCACTTCTACAGTCAAATACTCCAGACATTACAACAAGTTTCAATAAGTCACCTGTAAAATTTAGAGAATATCCCACAGCTTCAATCATCAAGACAAAGCAGATGAATCAGCTATATATAGAAAACAACCTCGACAAGACCAGTGGCAGATGTAGCATATAGTCAATAGATTCAACTGAACCTAATATATATGTGTGTGTGTGTGAAAAGTTACTAAAATTTAAAAAATGTTAAAGTTGAGCTCATAATTTCAATAGTGCAATGGTCCAATAGTAAGCACATAAAGTTTGAACCCATCAAATTTAAATGCTCAATCTGCCTCTGGACAAGACAACCTATGACAAAGCAAAGCAAGGTCCAGTACAAATAAATATCCTAAATATTGATGAATTAACCATTTCAAAGAACTCCCAAAAATTCAGAATTGCCCACAAACTCCAGCAAATATTAAGGAATAAGCCAATATGCTAGATTGACAAGTCAACTATTTAAAGAAAATCCATGGAAAGATCAAAGCTTTAGCATTACCTCTAGGCTTTTGTGCATCACTTCTTCAAAATGCTAGAGACCCCACATCCCAGAAGAGCAAAGACAACTAAGATTCTCAAGTGATTCCTTTTGATAATGATACAGAAAAAAACATGGAATCTTGAAATGGGAAGTTTAAAGCAAAGACTTTTATACTCCGTATATAAAAACTACAAGCTCCTACTTTTTTTCCAAGAATGGGAGGGATCTTCCCATTTATATTCAAGATTTGTGAAAGGGGAAAAAGGGGTAAAAAGATTCAAACTTTATGTATGGAACAAGCCAAAAAAAAAAGCATGGAAAAAATCTAATGTAATGTTTTTATGGGAAGGTTCTAATACCCTTTACTTTAGTATTATAGTTTACGTTGACTGTCACTCTATCTCAATCATTTTGTATCTCTCTCTCCCTCTCTCTCCCTCTCTATTGAAAGAGTTGATTAACTGAAAACTTTTTAGGCATTTTCCATTCACTTTTCCAGAAAAATATTCGTTTCGACTTCTGAGATTAGGACAGGTTCTTTGTTTTTACTTGGTTCTTCTTTCGGTCCTTTCTTTTAAAGTTTAGGTACTTGGTGGACAAGAAAATTGTACTAAGTGGACGTTTGCAAATTAGAGTTATGTTTTGAGATGAATATAATTTTGGATTGTTTTTGAATTTTTGTGAAGAAAATTTTGAAAAATAGTTTTTTTGAGTTTTTCAAATTTTTAAAAAATTTCAAAATTCATCTTCAAGTGAAAATTGAAAATTTTATGGCGAAACACTGATTTCGAAAAAAATAAAAAATTTTAGAAAATATTTAAAAAAAATTCATGGCCAAACGGGCTCTAAGAATCCTACGAAATCATACGAAATTTAAGGATTTCATAGTCGCTGTATTGTATCGTATTATTACTTTAAATACAATATTTGTTTTGATTGTTGCTTAAATTTTATTGTATCGTATTGATAAATGTTACGTAACGATTAAAAGTATCACTTTATGGAATGTCCAATTTGGTGTGATAGCGTCGTTACCTAATTTTTTTCTTTCCTCTTGCTCTTCCTTATTATTAAATAATCATATTTTATCTTTTACCTTACTTTTTTATATAATAATTCTATCTCGTATCTTATTTTTTCTTTATAATATTGCAAGTTTATTCTTCATATTGTTGGTGCATGAACGACGACAAACAATACAATATATCCAAACATTATATATATCAAAATGATACAATATTATACAATACAATATAATATAATACTATACGATACATTATGAACGATACATAACAACCATCCAAACAAGCTGTAAACCAAGAAGCTATTCAATGGATACAAGAATTACACTGGAACAATTCCGGAATTCCCATTAATTTTTCTCTCTTATATTAGCCAAATAAAGTAGGTAAACAACGATATTTAGAATTGCGACGTGAGTACCATTCTTCAGGGCGGATAGAGCTCATGTTTGATGAAATATATATTTAAAGAACTATTAATATTTTAATAAATATTAAATTTGGAATTCATAATTCTAATGAATTCGGTTATAAAATTTTAAAATTAAACTCATCAAATTTAAATTATGAATCCCATGTATTCTGCCCCCTTCTTACCATAAATAAGAAATCTAATCATCATGGTCATAGCAAGGTGAAGTTTACGTACGCTATTTTCATTCTTAGGTAAGGATATTTTGAAGATGAAACGTTACACAAAAAAAAAAAAAAAAATCTCCCTTTTGAATATCTTCAGTTGTAACGTAACCTTTTGTACCACATTCGGTTGTGAAAAAAAAATCGAATTGTTTTAATTCGAAATCAGTGTTAAAGCTCAATTTTGTCCATAAATATGACATTTATATTACTTAAGAAGTAAACAAGGGTAAGGAAGTCATTTAAAGTAAATAGTAGTACTAATTTTAGTCAACACGAACCACAATATATTTATTTATTTAATCTTTTGGATAATTAATAAGATAAGATATACCTAAACTACGCCGACAATTTCATCATTAACGCGGATAGTACTCAATTTATTATTGCCAAACACATTTTTAGGAGGTTTATACTAATTTTTTTGGTTCAAGATAATGTGGTCCATCAAGTACCAAAACCAAGGTGAATTATTAATTCTCATCTCCACGTATAATGGTGGCAAAATGGTTAAAAGAAAACAGTTATTCACCCATATTATTCATTAAAAAATGAGTTGGATAATGAACTATTTAAAAACGGATCAAATATGGATAAGAATCATATTATCCACTTAAAAATAGACAATTAATGAATAACTAATGGGTTTAACTTTTACATTTGTAAAACCTCAAATTAGGGGTTACTCAAGTTTGGAAGACTAAGAAATCTCCCAATAGTGATCATATTCAAGAAGTCATGGATAATATGAATATCCATGTTATCTGCCGGTTAACCCGTTATTTTATCCGTATTAAATATGGGTCGGATAGGATAATTTATCCATTTTTTAAATTACCCTCTTTCGATCCGCCTATATCCGATCCGTCCCGACCCGCTCATTTGCCGCCCTACCTACGTATATGGATAAAAAAAGGTATGAGTAATGTTTCCCATCTAATTCTCCTGTATGGAACATGCCACTATGTCTGAATCTTTACATAGCTCACTTATTCTTTCTTTCAATTTCTTCAACGGAGTTACAAATTTACATATATCCTTTGACTTATTTATGTGCTATAAGAGAACATGAAAAATGACATTATGTAGTTGCTCTCAAAATAATAGTCAATTATATATATATATATATATATATAACAACCCAGTAAAATTTTACTAATAGAGTATTGGGAGGGTAGTGTGTGCGCAGACCTTACCCCTACCCCAAAGGAGTGGATAGGCTGTTTCCGAAAGACCCTCTGGTAAAAAAAAAAAAGACAAAAGGACAAAAAGGGGACAATATTAGTATCACAACAACAATCATGGGATAAATAGGAATACCATGAAATCCAGAAGAAAGATGCAAAGCAAAGGGAGACAATATTAGTAAATATTAGTATCACCACAATAATCATAAGAAAAATAGGAACACCATGAAATCTAGAAGAAAGATGCAAAGCAAAAGCGATAGCTATTAAATAGGACATGCACTGAAAAGCGAAATAGTAAGCCACAACATTGCCACTAGCTATCTTAGACAAAAACCCTATATTGTTAGTCCCACAATGGTACGAAGTAAGGCACGACTCAACTACCTCCTAACCTACAACCCTAATACTCGACCTCCACATCTTCCTATCAAGTGTCATGTCCTCGGAAATCTGGAGCCTCGCCATATCCTGCCTGATCACCTCTCCCCAATACTTCTTAGGCCGCCCTCTACCTCTTCTCGTGCCCTTCGCAACCAGCTGCTCACACCTCCGTACCGGAGCATCTGAGCTTCTCCTCTGAATATGTCTGAACCATCTAAGCCTCGTTTCCCGCATCTTGTCATCAATGGGAGCCACATGTACCTTCTCCCGAATATCATCATTCCTAATCTTATCTATCCTAGTGTGCCCGCACATCCACTGCAACATCCTCATTTCTCCTACTTTCATCTTTTGGATATGTGAGTTTTTAACGGGCCAACACTCAGCCCCATACATCATGGCCGGTCTAACCACCGCTTTATAAAACTTACCTTTGAGTATCGGTGGCACTCTCTCGTCACACAGGACTCCAGATGCTAACCTCCACTTTATCCATCCTACCCTAATACGGTGTANTCCTCTCCCCAAAATCGAAGCCTCCATGCACCTCGCCATAACCACCTGCGGTCGACCCAATATGTCCATTGAAATCCTCTCCTATGAATAGCTTCTCAGCATGCGGAACTTGGCGCACAATCTCATCTAACCCTTCCGAGAAGCGCCGTTTAACCTCCTCATCTAGGCCCACATGCGGCGCATATGCGCTAACGATGTTTAGGGTGCACTCTCCAACCACCAACTTAATAGTTATCAATCTATCTTTCACTCTTCTAACCTCAACCACAGACTCTCTAAGTTCCCTATCCACCAAGATGCACACTCCATTCTTACCTTTCTGGACTCCTGAGTACCAAAGTTTATACCCGTCCACGTCCCTCGCCCTCGACCCTACCCACCTTATCNCCCCCGTTCCCTCCGAGGACATGACCTCACTCGACCATCCCAGACCACAGCCACTATACCTACGGCAGAATAAGGGGAATCACTATCACACAAGGCAACAGACCAAATCAGAAGAATACAAGTTGCAACAATAGGCACACTAATACGGTAAATAAACTAGTACGAGGTAAGATGCCAGCAATTTAACTCACACAACAAAGAAAAACTGGAAAATGGGAGGTACCAACTCCCGCGAGCAGAAAAAATAATAATAAAATACCGATACCACGAGTACCAGATATAGAATGAAAGAACCTAGAGCAAGTTTTCCTGAAGTGTGTCGGATCTGCTCAAGAGCACTGGCAAGTCCTGCTGTGTCCCGCCGGAAAGCTGTTCAGAAGTCGCCGGAATTTACGAAACTTGCCGGCAATCTGAACACACCGAAAAATAGTCCGTCCTCGCCGGGAAGAAGCTGCACCTGTCCAAAGAAACAGACGCACCCCCACACACACAAGGGAGGGGGAGAGAGAAAGGGAAAGGGAAAGAGAGAGAGGGGAAGAAGAAGATGGAGCGGGGGTCGCCTGAAAAAGCAAAACTAGAAGGGTCGCCGGAAATCAAGGGTCGCTAGAGTTGCAGCAACTCGCCTGGAACACGCATGTCCCGACTCCGGCAACAAGAACGGAAAAGAAGAGAAAGAAGAGAGAGAGAGAAAAGGAGAAAAGAAGAAGGAGAGAGAAAGAGAAAGAGAAAGAGAGTGGGAGAGAGAGAGGCTGGAAAGAGAGAAGTGGACTTACCTGTAACAGCACCTGCGGCGACGACGGTGACGGCAAAGCAGCAGATGCCGAAGTGTCGCTACTGGGGTGCTACTGAAGGTTACCGTTTTAAGAAGAAGAA